CACTCCCCTGACATCTAGTGGTGAGCTGTGGAAAAGGACTTCAGGAGTTGATCTTATTTGCATGGGCACACCCATCCTGTGTAGGTACTCAGCATGATGGGATTGCTTGCCCAAATGATCACGTGTGGCTGGGGCTGGATCCCCAGTTTCCTTGTTATTGGGGCAGAAGTAATAAAGAGTTGTTATCCTTGTTGTGTGAATCGAGGGCAGCAGAACTGTACCCAGCACACCCCAGTGGAGGGACTCACCCTCAGCTGAATGGCACTTACTAGGTAGGGGACATGGGTTCCAAAGCCCAATGAGTTGAGAGAGGGTGGTCTCTGTTAAAAGGGTCTCATGTTGTCTACAACCCTTAGAGAGTCTTGCTATACACTGCAGAGCTGAAATCACAGATACCTAGGTCTAAGGATTAGACCTACTTTGGGACAGTGTTTTTGGTGCAAGAGACTGCCCAGTGAGAGTGAAGCTCCCTCCTCCCACTAACAGCTAAGATCACTGGGAGCTGAAATCACTCAGAGCTGTGTTAAGTGGTGGGCATTGAAGACATCTTGGTGAGCAGCCAGCCAGCTGGCTGGTGGAGAGACATGGCCAGCAAGGCGGCTGGTGGGGCGGTGAGCGAGTGCCCGAGCAGTGGAGTGTGTAAGGTGCCTCCTTACCCACCCCCTTCCACCCAGGGTGGGAGGTGAATGCTGCAGATGAACCTCTGGAGTCTGGGGCTGCACTGACCAAGGACAGCAACTGTGAGTGGGGTGCAGAGAAGGGATGGGCATGTTAAAGGGACTTTTGGGTTGCTGGACTTAAGAACTTGAGGGGAAAAGGGGACAGCCCAACTTACTTGGGGGTGGGTCTTTTGCTTGGGGTTTATGTTTATGAACCTAGTTGCGGTGTTTTCCCAAATTAATGCTGAGTTATTCCCCTCGTTTTATTAAAAGTTTTTGCTACACTCAGACTCCGCTTGGGAGAGGGGAATTATTGCCTCTTAGAGGCACCCAGGGGGTGGTGTGTAATTGTCCCAGGTCACTGGGCGGGGGCTTGAGCCCATTTTGCATTGTGTTATTGAAAAGGAACCCCTAGATACTGAACCCGGCCCTTGTTGCTGCCAACTCTGACTGGCAGAAGGGTTACATGTTGTTTATTCACTAACAGGACTGAGTTCCTTATGTAATTATTGCCTTTAAAACTAGCCCTCACTTGCACTCGTTTAACTAGGGGCAGAAAGAATGGTCACTTACTTCACCTGGTGACTCTTCGAGATGTTTTGTCCAGGTGGAGCATGCTTGTGTGCACCTGTGCCCCAGGCCTGCAAGATCAGAATCTGTGACCATTGGACTGTGCCTGTGTCCTGCATGTCCTTGTGTCCCCCAAATTGAGGGCAGCAGCGCCAACTGCCTCATTTTTCTCGCTGATTCCAGCATTGCCAAACCCACAGGTTCAAAAATCCTGAGTCAGACCCCAAAAATCCTGAGTTGTTTTAAAAAGACAATATTGTGGATTTTTTTTTTTGGGTCTGCCTTTATTTTTGAGCTGCTCCTGCCCATCCCCAGCGTGTCTGTGTGCGACTGTCAGCTTTTGCCACCCAGATGTGATAGAAACAGGCACCTCCACCAGCAACAGGACTTTTTTTTCTAAAAGGGAATTTGCTTATGAAAGGTCGTTTTGTGGACCAAAGTCCTCTATCTACAGAAGGGGTTCAGCAGAGATTATACCACACAAGCGTCCTCAGGGTGAGCACCTCTAGGGATGAGGAGGGTTCAATCATTTATCAACCCCAGACGTACCTGCCTGTTTTGCAAAGATAGGCTTCCTCCCTTCCACCATGTCTCCCATCGGTTTCACTTCCTCTTACCAAAAGGGGTCCCTGTTTCTGACCAGTCACCCACAGCAGCTGCCTTTAGAACCAAAGGGTACCCTTGAGTCCTTCGCTCTAGCTGCATAGTGCTTCAAGAAGCAAACGTACAAAAGGATTTGGGGGCATTTTTGGAACTGCTGCACACAAGTGAGCAGAAATAGGAACCCCTTTTTGGAGTGGGGTGAGGAAGCAAGTGGATAGAAACTGCAGGCTGAACAAGAGTTTGGGAATGAACTGAAGGGAGTGATCAGAGACACTCTTTTGCTGCGCCACTGGAAGCAGCACTGTAGGCAGACAGCTTTAGCCTAGGGCTAAGACTGCCCTGTTCCCCATGCCCAGTTAGCCATTGGCCTCTCTGATGTGGCCACCACTAACGCTGCATCATTGCAATAGTGGGTTTGCAAGCAAAACCTGTCCATAGATATTGGACTGAAATGATCAGAATTCATTTTCTATATGCTACCAAACATATTTGATGGAAGTTATTTGCAATCGCTACCTAGGTGGGCTATATTTCAACCAGTAATCTAGAAGTATGCAGGGGGTCTTCATGTTTTATTACCCATCCACTGAGCAATCCAGGACCTCCTGTCCAAGAATGACTTTTAGACTGGGTCACTGATCAACACCTCAAAAGATGAACTTAAAAAAACATTGTCACAAAATGTTAGAGCAGATGTTACACTGTGACTTCTATTATAAGTGGGCTATAGTCACTCCTTTCCTGCAAAGTTCTCCCATTGGGCTGAAACATTCCAAAAAGAAAGGGGGAAAAAATAGAACACGATCTAATCTTCTGATTGATACCAAAAATGGAGTTTTGAAGGAAAAATCTGTCCAGCTATTACTGATGGAGGCTGGGGGGGCATTCCGCATATAATTTCTCTGCTTTAAAAAAAATTTAGATCTATGTGTATGAAGATCTTCAAGACTTGAGCTTTCAAACTTCACATATAGCTAGTCCACAGTGAAGAGCTGTTGCTGTGCAAATTATAACAATTTTTTCTAGGAGATTAAATATTTACTTTCGTGCATGGCAAAACAAACCATTTCTACTCTGGTTTAAGATGAGCAATTAACTGAGACACTACATAACTGTGCAACACACACAAACAAGTAGTTTCATAACAATGCAGATAGCATTTCCCCTCTTCCATGGCAGCTTATTTTTAAAAAAAGAAAAAATTAAAAACTAAAGTTTTGTTAATGCACCATTAACATTGTGAGTTTACTGTACAACCAAAAAAGACACCAAGTTCTCATAGCAATGCTAACTGATCCGTACTGTTCCTATTTATTCATGCATGCAAATATCAGTCCAATTAGTAATCAATACTGGCTTGCAATGTGGGTAAGTAAACGTTGCAGTAAACACCTTAGCATTTGCCTTTTCTGTGTGTCAGTTTTGCACCTTTACTGTTGCATGTGTTCTGTTATGAAACTTAGGGCAGACAAAACATGGCTCCCTGCCAGGATCCTCACATATCCCCAGTTCCTTCCAGAGAGATGAAAAAGGGCAGATGATGTTACAGCCAACCAATTGGAACTGGGTGGTGCCTTGTGACTGATGGAAATTTCCCACAACAGGTCTATAGTCAAAGGTACTTTCAACTTGGATGGCCAACAGCAAAATTAAAAATAAACCCAACCATTTTAAATCACTCAAGTTGCTTTTATTGAACTCTTTATAATGTACATTGAACTTTTGTGCAATAAATACAGCACATAGTATTGAATGATTTTTTCCCTTTAAAACATAAAAGACTTCCCTTAATCACTGTAGAGTGGCTTAAATGTTGACATTAAACAGTAAGAAAGTGTTGAATGAAGTCTGCAACGGCTAATGCCATTTAAACCAGTGTGTATTACTTGCTGCATGAAGCTCAGTACTGCAATCTATAGGTTAAGACAGCACCCAGTGGTGAACTGTGTGAATTAGATTAAGTCTGTTAAACAGGAGCAATTGAATTACCTGGAATTCTAGAGAGACAAGGTGAGAGAGGTAGTGTCTTTGATTGGACCAGAAGCTTTCAAGCTACATGAAGGTCTGTGTGGCTCAAAAGCTTGTCTCTCTCATCAACAGAAGTTAGTCCAATACAAGATATTACCTCACCACCTTGTCTATCTAATATCCTGGGACCAACATGGCTGCAACTATACTACATACATGGAGTTCTGGAGTCAACCACACCTCTCATCACACATTCATTTCCCTCTTCTCCACACCAGCAAGGCTGCTGACCCCAGAATAACATACTTTTGTTTACAGTTTGTGTTGAAAACTGAATTGGGAGGGAGGGGCTGCAGATTTTCAAATTGTAAAGCAAATGTGACAGCATTTGTGGGGCTAAGAGACCTGCAGAGATTGAAGGAAGGAGGGAAATGAAAATACAGATGGGTGGGGTTTTTTATAGTGTGTGTGTGTGTGTGTGTGTGTGTATAATTCCTCTTTTAGTTGATTGACAGCTGCAGATTCTTGGGAGTTTTTGTCTGGCTTTTTGTGTAAACTGTGGAATTTTTCTGCTTCAGCTAAAGGGAGTGAGAAGCTGAGAAAGCATCTCTGTGCTGGCAGAGAGGTTTATTGTGGCAAATAACCTATCAGAGGAGGATCACAGCAGTCATAATAGAGATAGGAAATAGATTCTCCCCCCCCCCCCCAATCACTGTAGAGTTATTATGTAAACCACTGCAGAGTGGCTGAGAGCCACTATTAACCAGAGTACAAGGTTAGGTGGACTGAACAGTTTGAGAAAGGGCAACACTAAACTAATGCAAGTCAGACACAAATGAGACTCCAGAAACCTCTGTAGCTAAAAGAAATCCATAGTTACACCTAGCTAACTGCACAGCATCCCCTCCACTCTGACTGGCTCAGACAATGCCATTGCAGTGGGTCACTGGTAAGTTTGGTCACAGTGTATTCAGTACACTCATTAAATATTATGGGCCAAATTCTGCCCGCTCATACCTATGCAGCCCTATTGCCTGTAGTCCAGTTACATACATCTAACGAAGGGCAGGATTTTGTCCTAGATGAGCTTCTGCGATGTATAACAAAACAAACATGTTTCTTCCCTGCAGTGACATCTAGAGTTCAGAAGCACTTGAGGAGCCAGGGGGCTGCGATGAAAGGATCTTACAGGGCCCTCCCCTTGCTCCTGACTGGAGAGAATTACATTATATGACCTAAGTGTAGGCATAAGAACTTCAGTTAGAGGTAGGAGGTCAGTCTTAGATAAAAGTTTTCAGGGGAAATGTGCTGCCTTCTTGTTGTGCATGAAACACGCCATAACCGGTAAGAATTCGCTCTTTAGAGAGCTTGATCTGATTTTGATTTGTTGTTTACGCATGTGGGTATTCAGCCAGGTAAAAATAAATGATATAAGCTGTGTATTCACTAAGAAAAAGGTGTGTCTTTTACAGTAAGACGACTCTCTTGTGTTAGCTACCTTATTGCAATATTTCAGTCAAGACAAGGCAAGTGATAGCTCGGACTCAAAACAGCTGCTGGAGGTAAACCCTATAGCTGGAGTCCAGGATTTACCTCAACCCTGTTTCAAGTTAACGATCTCACTGTGAAAAGATACACAAATGTTTTACTAGGGAAGGCATACCCATATTGTCACCAAATCCAGTGTCTTGGACTTATTCTATGTCAATGAGCAACACACACAGTCTCATAGGCAGTCTTCCTAGATTGCTCTCGCCTCAGCTTGGCTGTGGCTGTTCAGTTTGTTACCTTCAATTACGTGTTAACAGTGTTTTAGACTTTAAGCACAATCAGTACGGTCTAACATTTGTTTTTTATATAAATTCTATGCAGATCAACCAATTACAGGAGATTGAGAGCTAACGATCCCGAAAAGCTCTGCAACGTTTAGATGTGCTGTTACATCACAGCAGTCAGGATGATCCCAACTGTGTTTATTTTTAGAATGTTGAAAACAAAACAGGAGACAGAACATTCTAGCAAAGGGAGAGAGAGAGAGAGAGAGAGAGAGAGAGAGAGAGAGAGAGAGAGAG